TGGAATTTCATAAAATGTCGATTTTTCCATAGCAACGCAATTTATCGAAAAATTTTCAAAGACGTCCCGAGGTATCGGACCAACCATTCACCCAACATCTAAAAAAGAATTCTAGGGTCCCTCACATTTCCCATATTATTGGTCAAAAATTTTAATTTTTTCCGGCTCTTAATTCACCCTCTGTACAAAGAGAACGAATAGCAAAAATGAAAACCCGACGCCAATGACGCATAGCACAAGGATGACGCTTTCTACCTTCGATTGAAAATCCAACATCGGCCAAGAAATGTACGAGTTATAGGTTATCAAAATTAGTCAATATTTTGGTTGTCCCACTTCATCTGGTAAGTAGTTTAGATAATCGAACATGCCTCCATCATGTTTTATTGACATTTCAAAAATACATTGCGCGAGACGATGATACATTATTGTATATTTCTCTTCAAAATCTGAACGATTGCAAAGTGATAAAAAACTTCGCAATAATATGCTCAGACGTACTACCATACCCAATGAATAGTGACTAAATTTGTGAAGCCCAACTATTCAGACAATTAAGTGAATTGCCAAAAACTTGTCAATCATCCTTTATTTATGCCAAAGACTATAGTGTTCTCTAAATTGATAATAACCTATGGCTCATAACAGTGTCAGACCCTCTTTCTGTTACAATCAAATGCACAAACAAAGATGCAGCAACGAAGATAATCAATAGAAATTCGCTATTGAAACTCCAACCCGAATGCAACGCTTTCGTAGGAAGTACCAGAATACACTCCAAATATCTGTTTGATGAAACTAAGAACGTCACGTACAGATATCATGCCGTTCGAATTCCATTCGAATGCTGTGGCCATCTTCCAAAAAAACACAGTCTACCTGAGTTGAAACCGTTGAAACTCAACAATATTAATGTGGACGATTTGAATATTGCCGAACACAAATTAAGCCAATATTCAGATCAATTAGACAAGCTGATTAACGTACCATTTGTGAACAAACACATTTCGTGGTTCACGTACCTAACAATAGCCTTGATCATTTCATTGGTCATCCTGTATATCTTTTGCAAATGCAAACGCAAAAGACCAATTAGAATAGGCATTACCACTTCAAACGATGGACCATCACCACCACCCTCAAGAAACCGGTTCGCACCAAGAACCCTGGCAAGATTCATCCCTAGAAGAAGACCGACCATCCACCTGCAAGAACCAGTAGAAGAAGAAGAAATCGAATTGAATCCAAATTATAGTAAACACACTGTTTGAGTAAAAGTCGACGCAATGCCTCAACTTTTTTAATAAAAGGGGAGTTGTTATATGGTAAATTAAGCACACTCAGTATATATCAAGTTACTAGATAACAGCTTCTTAATAAAAGGGGAGTTGTTTTATGGTAAAATAAGCACACTCAGTATATATCAAGTTATCAGATAACAGCTTCTCAGTATTTTCATATGGTGAGAAGCAGAATCAGCACTGATCGTTTTTCTATCTGCTTCCTACGTTGCAGATCCAATATTATAAAAGGACCCTGCGTGGCAACCTTGGCATTAGTATAGTTAGAACTAGGCTAGTAGTAATATGGCAGAGAGCCATTAGAATTTCAAGTAACCATTGTCTTTTGAATAAAGTAACCTGTTGAGTAGAAAAGTGTTTTTTTAAAAGTGAAATCTCAAAGTAGAGATATAGCAAAAATGATCTGATTTGATGTTGTATAATCGATATGTATTATATTTTTTTTATAAATAAATCAACAATTTTCAGACTTAAACGTGTATTTCATTTCTACCATAATTAAGAATCATTGTACTCTATACAGGTCTTTTGAGAAAACATCAGGATACATGGAAATAAATTCCAATATCAAACTGATATTCTCAACACCTCGATTTTCGTCTGGTCGATGTTTGCCTGACTCAGCATTTTTATATCATAAAAATTTTAGAGGACCTGAGTGACACGAAGAATTTCTGTACAAGTTGCTACTACGATGTCATAGCAAATCATGAGTGGAATGTTGAAAGTACTTCGAGATCTCTACACATCACAGACCTGGCAGTGAATCTAGTGCAACACCGCAAATCGTGCTATATGTGCAATATTCCACTCTATACATACTGTTTGTCAAGATTCTGTATTTATTGCAACAGTTCACCATTGTAAATTGAAATATAATATTAATATAAAATATTTGTATCCCATATTGAATAAATACTAGTCAATTTGACATTATTTTTCATTATCTATGATGTTTCATTCCATCAATTCGTATTTTTGTCTAAATCCAGCTTATTTAAAGATCAGAAATATTCCCGTCTTGGAACGCCTATGAGCAGGTATGCAAATACGCCTAACTGTTCACTTTCACTCATGATAAACCGAAGACGTCCAGTCTGATTTATTTTAATTAATTGGTGTGCTCTGAACTTGAACAAGACCACTTACCTTACATAGCATGTGGTTTTAGTGATTTAATCAAGTCTGATGAGAAGGTTAGCAGTTTTTGTGGAATATAATAATTATATCCTCTCTCACAGAATTGTGATTGGGGGCTCTTGAAGAGATTAGATCAGGTATTAAATTCAGCTGATCATATTATTATTCAGAGTAATTGTAGGAGATCGTTTAAGGAATATGTTAACTCTGATTAGTTATATAGTTGTGATTGCGAATTTTTGAATGGTAGGTAGTCTATTGATCATATATTATATATCAGCTGGTACGAGTTTGTGAAATATGATCAACTGTTCTTGTCTGATTGGTTTTAGAGGTGTGATTAGAAGGTCCTAGATAATATAAACAAGTGAGATGAGGTGTACAAATATTGTTTCTTTTATATAGTAATATTAATAAAACACAAATAGAAATAATGATTACAATAATAGTGATAATGATAAAATAATGATTTACAGTTCCTCAGGAATTTTTTTACCAACTGCTATAACTTCCTCTAAATTATTGATTGATCGTTCAACATGTTTAATTTTTTTCTCGTATTTCCTCAATTTCTCATTTAATTCCAATCGCCTCACTTCTTTCACCTCCAGTAATTCATTTTTCCTAGAAATGAATTTTTTGGCGTCTTCCAAGAATAATTTTGATGATTCGAGATCTTCTAATATTTCCACTTCCATATTCAACGTCTCATCGTGGAGACCGCTTTCCATGTTTTCACCTTAATTCACCGATTCGTATCTATCTTCAGCATCACTTATAGGTTTTTGAAGAAACCATCGGATGATCGAATGATGTTGAATTTGGTAAAGAGGTTGATTCTTCCACAATTTCAACATCGCTGTCGTTGTCACTAAAATTTTGGAAGCTGTTTTGATCTGCCATTTTTCTCAGATGCTGAATAATTTTGTTTGATTTTTTTGCTGCTTTTGGCACCTCAAACTGGAATTTCATTCTGGATATATTATTCGAATTCTGACTTGATAAGATTTCAACTGATAGCAAAATACCAAGGGAGACTTTATATTATATTTGAGTTGAGTATGAGGAAACTCCTGATTGGCTGAAAATACGCCTACCAACCTAATTTTTTCTACCATCATTCCCCAGAGTAATTCAATGCGCTGCAAACAGATGTTCAGATTATTGCTCTTTTTTCTAGGCTTAATACTGGTACCAGACCACCATCGTGTGACATCAACATCTGTGTGATGTAACAACCTTGCATAAATGCAATATCTCGTTAACACATCTTATCGACGTAGATTCGATATCAACGTCGCAAGGTGACATCGCAACCAGAAAACTATGTAATGTGGCAGCGACTTCTTCAAACTACATCTCTTCGACGTTAACTAAATAATTCACATTGATATCTTTGTGACCTGTGAGTGTGACGCAGACATGGGCAAAACGAACGCACACGCCAGACGCCATGTTGAGCTGTACATGGCCACGTCAGTCAGTCAGTCAGTCAGTCAGTCAGTCAGTCAGTGAGTGAGTCCGACTCCATACATACTATTTCCTTCCAAATTCTCTGTTGAAATATCTGAGATGATTTGTAGCACATATTATAGCGCTTCAAATTGGAGGTATACAATCATTTAGGAACGACGGTGAGTTCAATCACAATAGGTAATATTGTAATTATCGCTGAGATAGGAATATTGCAATCTAAAACAAGGTGGATGAAAGATCCCAAGATAATGTAAGTGTATTTGATATGTATCATTTATGAATAATGTATATTTGTATTGCTATATATATGTGGCATGTATTACTTCAAGATTACTAATTAGGGTAATTGTCATGATAAGTTTTGTATCATCTGTTTTTACTTTCGGAAAATGAACATTTTCTTCGTAAAGTTTAATAATAATTATTATTATATATCCCACGAATATCACAGGTTCGGCGACCACATCATCGATGTCGCAGTGTGATGTATTTTTAATGTGAAATGTACACTTGTATGTGACCTGGTAGTGATTTTTCATGTGATGTCGCATTTCATGTCTGAACGACGTCACAGTGATGTTGCTTGAGTCGGACATTTTCAAATCGCCACGTTGTATCGGTAACATGTTTGTGACTTCAAATGATATATCGCCTGTCACAAAGTGATGTGGCGTATACATAACTTATACATCTCATTTTTGGCTGGGCACACCTGCTACCATCATGCCAAAAAATGTCTAGACCAAGTAAACTGGTTTGGATCCTTGGATCCTGTTCTTAAAACAGTTCTCAGTTAGCACACCTGCTACCATCATAAAAAAATGTCTAGACTGAGTAAACCGGTTTGGATGTTTGGATCCTATTCTTCAATTGCTAATGTCTACCTACTCAAGGTGTCATATTCCATTGGTGTGTTATCAGGGTGAAAATGTGAAAAAATGGTATCACATGAAAACAACAGAAGAATACTTTATACCAAGATATTTGACCTAATGAATTAAAATCTCATATCACCTCAAAAGATTGCATGAAACATACAAACACCCTGTATAGTATATTTTGAACATGTTGGATATTACTTACACTTTTGTATTTCCTTCCCTAGAATAGGCAGTTATTAATGTCAGTTTCTTTTCTACAGCTAACTCAACGAATTCCTCCTTGCAAACAAAGTCTTTGTTCTGGTATCTACAGCCAAAAAAAAGGATCAAGTTGTCTTGATTACAATTTCGTTCGGCCAGTCTTTGATGTATGTAACTTCTGAAAGGAGCTACACCAGTGCCTGGTCCGACCATTATAACTGGAATCTCCTAAAAAGATAACGTAAATTAGATCAAGAGACAGTAGTGAAAATTGGTGCCTCATAAGTTACCAGAAGATTGACATTCTAGGTGTGTCATTTATTCTAAATGGACACCTTGCGTCTTCCGGCCAAGAGTGATCGCTTAGAAACGGTACGAATTTCGAAAAAGTGCGAAAATCGACCTAAAAGCTCCTCATTATTATCAGAATTGAATTCAAAGTGATTAGAATTATGTAGTGAATCAAGAACCTAAGCGCCTACCTGTGGATGCGGTCGCATTTTCGGTGTTAGAAACGTGAAAAAAATAGCATTCAGTTTCTGACACGTGAAATTTTGTGCATAAATAGTTATTTGTGTATCTAGTGCGCAAAATGCTACTTTGGTTATCAAGAACTGATTTTTTTAACGAGGTGCAGCCGAGGAAAAAAAATGTCGCGCACGAGTTGCATACATTTTCTCTACACACGTCAAAAAATATAGTTCTAAAGTAGTACTCATTTATTGTTTAACATTCAGGAATAAATGATTTCTGATGATTCAAAAATATCATATAGTTTACCTACAATGCGGGAAATACGTACTTCGCACACTGCTTCGCACATGGTGTCGTGGTAATGTAGAAACCTGAAAAAAGGTGTCACTTCGCAAATGCGCGAACCTTGATATTTTTTGACGTTTGCAGAAAAATAAGTTTTTAATACACTTGATTGAAACATATGAACTGATCATAAGTCGCTTTCATAGGGGCAGACGAGGTCAAAGTTGAAAATAGTTCGTTTCTGTTCTGTCAGGAAAATTGATTGTCACACACATATAACAAGCAGTAATGACATATTAACAGATTTATCCTTTCATTGTCAATATTGATATTTTTCAAGCAACTCTTTCCAAAACTTGTTTGTCGATAGAACGGCAAATCATTGGTATTTTTTGCCCAGGAAAAGTACGTGTCCCAATCCTCTCTAGGTAGAAACGATCTTCCACGAACATAATAGGAATTTCCCTTTCGTGCGATCCGAAAGATAAAAAATATGAATAGTGTGGAAACTCGGGTCACACTATAGAATAAATCAATTATAAATAAAATTATGTTGCTCTGAGAAGTTGATTGTTCATTGGATGTTTATAAGCTGATGTGTTGTCGAACTATGTTTATTCAATATGATGGTTTGCTTCGATCTCTCGCAATTTCTGATTTGAAATCGAATACCCAAACGGTTTAAGTTTATGATTCTCCATATAAGTACTCGTGAAAGGAACTTTGGTGTTATCAAGCAACCACTCTTGACCGGCAGACGCACGGTTCCCATTTCAATGCGGAATATTTAACACACCTGGAATGCCGAACTTCTGGTTACTTATGAGGCAACAATTTTTACTCCTGGCTCTTGGTCAAATACCAAATTATTCATCTTCTACTGTTAAGTGGAACATACCGGATCATTTAGGAATCTGAAAGATCCTTTTCTTATTACTGCTGTTACTTCATCTCCTTTTTGTAGCCCAGCTAAATAATTGGAACCTAGCCCTAACCGTTCTTTCACTAATTTTGTTCTGTATTTCACTACTGCAAGAAGTATATGTACTTCATCTTGATGATACTTTTTGCTGCTAGCTATCGAAAATTCTCTAGGTTTTATGGGTGGCATTATCTCCAACAATGTTTCCAACGTCAAATTCTTTGTGGCATGAGGAAAGTCTGCTAAAACTTCAACAATATTCCTCCTGGGTCTATTCGTATAGGAATACAGATCTTGTTGTCCTTCTGCTGTTGTGAACTCCAGACATTTTTCTTTTTCTAATTCACTATCTGTTAATTGTGATAATATATTGAAAACATGCCTTCTTGGTATAGACATCAAATCGAAATACTCTGAACACAATTGCCGGAAAGTAACTTCGTATTTTAAGGCATCTGGAACTGGAATATCATCATTTTGTCCAATGATAAATACGGAATCTAGTGGACAGTTGACACCATTTGAGAAGAGTACTTTCATAAATTCTTCTATCTGACTAGGTAAGTTTCTAGGTCGAACTACAAAAACATCTCCAGGAGAATAATTCTGGCCTTTGCAACTATACCTAATCAACCTTATATCTTGAAAATGGTCAGGAGATGTTAGTCTTCTATTTTCAATAACTACCGCTGTGAAATCTGTAGCCTTTTTTGAATAAAGATGAAGTGGTTGCTGGTTACTGATTGCCTTGTGAATCTCGGATGTGGACGCAGACCACCTGGAAGAACATAGAATTAACTATAATATTATGTTATAAAAAACGGACAGTGAGATAGCCATACATTGATGCCAGATGATAAAAAATCCGCAGATTTCTGCAACATATAGTGTTCAAGATAAGGAGGGTCAATATGGGTATCTTGGAAACTACAAGAGATACAGAATTGGTTGAATGGGTGAAAAGCGGCGCAATTAAAGGGCCAATGAAATAACTTCCAAAAATATTTTATATGACTTTTAGTTTTTGGATTATTTTCGAACAACAAAATTTCTGGATTTTCAATTTTTTTCTGGTGTTGATAAACAAGTTATGACAAAACTGAAGAAGCAGCTTCATAGCAACTTTTGATGTCACTCAATTTGACATTATCAATTTCCTGATCCAACGTTTCATCCTTCAGCTACCATCATCCATTCCATTTTTCAAATACGACCCTGATGATAGCTTGATATAATAATAATAATAATAATAATAATAATAATAATAATAATAATAATAATATCGACTTTATTATTTCTTGAGGAAAAACAAATACATAATTCTTTATTATTTTATAACCAAGAAATAAAGGGCGAAGTTCATTTTCTGCACTGCTAGGCATAACAGAAAATGCTCTTCCACTCAACCCTTAACAGAAACCTGTGACTGCTACATAATATTGTTACATTTTAATTCGAATACGAGCAAACAATGACATAATGGAGTGTAGTTTATTTATTCTGAGCAAGATATTAAATATATAACCTTATTTCACTCAGACAAATACTCTCTAAATTTAGATTTGAAGTTTAAAAAATTCAGTTGTTTAAATGAGGGGGGAACAGAATTATACATGTGACAAATTCGGTATCTAAAGGACTGCCTGAACATTTCTGTCCTGAATTTCGGTATTGCAAGCATATTTTTTAGTCTAATATTCAAATTGTGAATGTCTGTCCGATATTTAATTTTCCAATGCAGATACGATGGTTTTTTTGTTATAACTATTTTGTGGAAAAGACAAACAGCGTGAAGTACCCTCCTTTTTTCCATGTTCAACCATCCAATTTCTTGTAGTTTGTATGAGATCCTTTGTCGGCGACGAATACCGAAAATTAATCTGAGACACGAGTTTTGAACTTTTTGAATTTTATTTTTATACTGACAAGTTAAACATGGACCATAAAGAACATCTCCATAATTGAAAATTGAGAGTACTAAAGATTCACATAAGGCTTTTTTTACATGATAAGGTAGAAAATGTCGATTACCATAAATAATTTTTATTGCACAGTAGGCACGTTGCAGGAGTCTATTTATAAACCCCTCAAATCTCAGCTCTACATCCATCAAAATACCAAGATTTTTTGCTTCACTAACAATAGCTAGCGATTCATTTTGTATGCAAACATTCACCGAATCACTTACTGTGGCACGAATGTTTTTTGGGCCAAAAATCATTACATTTGATTTGCTGGAATTTATAAGTAGACAATGGTCCTTAACCAGGTCTACAAATCTGTTCAGATCTGCATTGATAAGATCGCAAGCATTTTCTACCATCTCAGCAGGAAAACTATAATATATTTGGGTGTCGTCTGCATATAAGTGCACTTGACAGGTGTGAAGGGAATGAAGTGAGTGAGAGGTATATATGGAAAACAGTAACGGGCCAAGTATAGAACCTTGGGGTACTCCAGATTTGAGATATAGAAGTTCTGAGTCACATTCCTCGACACTAACCTTCTGTTGTCTATCTTTCAAATAGTTTGTCATCAATGACAGAGCATCAACAGAAAAACCTATGTAACTCAAAATATCTATCAATAAATTATGATTGATGGTATCGAAGGCCCGGCTGAAATCCAAAAGAACCAATACCGTACATTTACTTTCATCTGTGGCTTTCATTACATCGTCCACGATATGAAGAAGAGCTGTTGTGCAACTATGTCCTTTCCGAAAACCTGATTGAACAGATGGCAACAAAGAAAAGTTCGATAGATGCTTTTTTATTTGCACCTCCATCGCTCGCTCAAGGATTTTCGACAACACTGGCAAAATACTTATTCCCCTCAAATCCTTGAATTCCATTGGGCTCTGTTTTTTAGGCAGAACTTTTACAACCGCTCTCTTCCAAATAGTAGGACAAACATTCTCAGTCAGACAGAAATTTATAATATGAGTAATATATGGTACGATATGAGGACAACACAATCTTAGTAGCTTGATACTGAATCCATCACAACCCCTAGCATTAGTTTTTATACCACAGATAATGTTGTAAACAAACATATCATTAATTTCTTCAAAGGTAAATTTAGCATTAGCATCAATCCGTGTATTATCTTTATAAAAGTTTAATAAATGTTCTGGTGGTTCAGTATGTGGGACTGATTCTACAAAGTACTTATTCAATTCCTGAGGGGTTTTCAAATTTTCCGGTATATTATTACTCTTTTCTCTTATAAACTTATTGGCCCTGAGAGCTTTCCACATTTCTTTCGGCGAAGTGTTGTTAAATTCATTGGTGAAATAGGCTCTTTTTCCCTCTTAATAGCCTGATTGGTTAAATTGCGCATTTGCCTATAGAAGTCCAAATGCCCTTGTAATTTAGTTCTCTTGAATTTTGCCAAAGCCTTCTCTCGTTCAGCAATCATTATTTTGATAACATTTGTCAACCATGGAGCTTTGGGTTTTGTCACTCGAGAAGTAGTAATAGGCATATGTTTATCAAATAGGTTATTCAAACAATTCACCAAGTATGAAACTTTCTCATCGACACTTTCTTGGTCGAATATCCTGAAAAAAGAGGTATTGAACAAATCTACCTGAAAAAGATCTTGGTAGAAATTTTTGAAGCTCCTGTATGTACACAGTTTCGGTTTACGTTGCTCTCCACGTACTCTCAATTTACAATGAACAATGGAATGATCTGAAATGTTGTGATGGATAACACCTTTGTCAACTTCAGACCCCTCTTGGACAATAACATAGTCCAACAATGTTGCCGACGTAGCTGTGACTCTAGTAGGGACATCTATCAATTGACACAGGTTCAATGCATTCAGTATTGAATAAAACTTCTTTACGCAGTTATTCTCTTCATCGAATAAATCTAAATTAAAATCACCCATACAAACTATTTCGTCTACGGTTGGTCCTATTGCAATTAAGCTGTCCTCAAATTCGTCAAGGAATGCATTTGTATTCTGTTCATGAGGTTTATAAATAACACCAACAGCAATCGTCTTTTTTCCAATAATGATTTTTATCCAACATTGTTCCCATGTATAATCCTGCCCACTCTCAATTACCTCAAAACGCAATTTATTACTGACATATAAACATAAACCTTTTCCCCTACAATTTCTGTCCACCCTGTGTATATTATATCCATCAAAGTTCAACTCATCGTTATCAATCGAATTTTTTAACCATGTTTCACATACCAGCAATATATCTAAGAAGTTTTCTAAAACTATTTGTCTGACGTTGATTAAAGAAGGCAATAATGATCTTGCATTACAGCAACCTATGTTTAAAAAATGCATATTTACTCCGACAACACTTGCTCGCATTCAATCACAAAACAAGAAAAGAAAAAAAAAACAGTGTTTATTTGAACTAAAAGATAGCACCTTCCCAAATATGAAGAAAAAAAAATAATTAAGAACTTTACTAGTAGGGAACGTGTCAATTGGTCGCAATGCTGCAAACTTAGTCTCATAAAATCATAGCGTACCTATACTATAAAACTAAAAATTGAAGGATACAGGAAACTAAAGATTGAGAAATACAACAATGTGTTGAGTGACTAATAATATGAAATTAATATTAACGAAAAGTTTAAAAAAAAAATACAACAATTTGTTTATTGACTGATGATAGTTTGAAATGAACTGTTTATTGGATTAAACTAAATATGATTTAAATTGAGTTAAACGAATATTTTAGCGATATCTTCCATATTGTCTATTTTAAAAATATTTGTCTGCTTGTTTAACTTCAGATAAATTTTTCCGGACATTGTCCATACTTTCCCAGCCGTTCCCACTCTCTTAGAAGCTTCATTAACGATTCCTAGTTGCTCCTTAGTTAAATCCTCTCTGATCAACACTCTGCTGGATTTCAGGAGTCTCTTGTTACTATATACAAGATTCTTGAAGTAGTTTGTGCATAACCTTACCATTATTGCTCTGCTTTCGTTATTTTCTTTCTTACCCAATCGGTAGCAAAACTCCATACATGAATCATCTAATTTGAGTTTCAATTTATTATTGAAAATATCTAGGACAGTGTTGGGAAGATCTTCCCTAGCTGATGATTCGGGAACGCCATACAACCTTAAATTTCTACTCCTTTCTTTCTGTTCTTGTTTCTTCTGCTGGTTAACGAGAACATTGATAGTATCTTCCTGTTGCTGCAGTTTTTCCATAATATTTTCATTTTCTTTTCTCAATTCGTTGATTTTTTCACTATATTTTTCCTCAATTATTCGAGTTATCGTTTCCGTTATCCGGCTAATGAAGTCTTCTGCTGTGCACAATTTAGTTACAAGATTTTTAACCACTAAGTGCAATTCATCTTCGCCCTTCCCACTCTGGCCTTGTTTTCGTGTTTCTCGACTCATGATAAGAACAAATAATATCAAACTCACGGCGATATAGTAGATTGAAATGGTTTTTGATTTGAGGAATATGCACTTGTTCACTTCTACTAATTGCACACAAAATTTCGAGTTTATAGATGTACGTTTAACACAGGTTTTTTACTGATCTATAGCAGCACTGCAAAACACGTCTAGTCTATGCGGCTCATTCACGGTCTCATCAGATTCAAATAGCCCTTTTCATTCTTGTTTCGAGAGTACTCAATAAAAAAAATATAGAACAAATTACCTTTGCAATTGAAAACTCTAGAAACTAAAGCTTCAAAGACAAAGTTGAGTATAATTCTATTCAGCAAAGCATACTATAATCTAGAGGGCCAGGTAGCCGTGCGGACAGAGTGTCTAT